ACTACCGCCAAGTATCAGGGCTTGTATGACGTGTAGGCTTGCTATTGTTAGATTCATACTTAAATGTCTTTTAATTCTTAATTCTACTCCCCTGTAACAAACTATTACACACAAGCAAGCACAGGCTTTGCTAATAAGTAAGGGTATTAAGATTAAAATCAGGGTTTAAGAATACAAGAATAAACTATATGCTTAAATATAGATTATTTGAAAAGAAACAGATCAATTATACATCTTAAATGGCAAAACTGTGAAAACTGGTAAAAGTTTTTTATATTATTTTTACATATTAGTTAACTTTTACCGACTAAATTGAGGTCCGAGTACCTGTTAAAGATATTGATACTCTGGTAGGCATACTTATTGAAACAACTACTTTGAGTGAAGAGTGCAGCACTAAGTATCCTCTAGAGGGAGCTGTGTGTCTACAGTTCGAGGGCCGGGCGGTTTTTCTCTACGGAGTCAGGAGCTAGAGGGGTTTTTGAAAAAACTGATTTTCTCCAAAGAGTTTATTTGATCTTTAAAAATGTAGGATCTAAGATAAAATATTCATATCGATAATAAAATTGATTTATTTTTGGCCAATGGGAAAATTAAGTATTAGGATGTAATGGAAATCTATATTTTTAATATTATACGTTGTATATTAGGTTTTCTGGACCACAGAAATAAACAAGGTTACAATAGCTGTTTGAATTGAGTACTAACAAATTAATAACACCCGAGATGCACCTAATGATAAACTTTCGGTTATTTTAACTCGTAATCTCGCTCTTTTCCTCTCCCTCCTCCCTCCGCCTTTTCCTTTTTCTCGATGTTGGCAAATTAAACATGACTAACAAAGTGAACTTAAAATGAAGACGCGTGTTTATACGCATACTATATAAGTCTGTGATCACATCACCGAAGTTTATTAAAACAAAGATATGATACGCTGCGTTTTAAAAATCATTAATGTTGATGTTGTTCTCTTTTGATTTCCAGATTATACTTTTGAGAGTATCGTACATTTCTGATTTATTGAAAAAACACAAGCACCTTTTTGAGGTACGCTATCTTTATTTTATTTACTACGGCTTATTTGTAATGAAAACAGATAGGAGCTGTGTCACCGCTGTGTTTCTTTCTTAATGGGTAAGTGCTAAATTAGATATGTCTGTGGCCACTTTTTACTAGCTTTCGAGCACCAAAGGAATTAAAATCGGGTGTCTGCATTACAGGTGTTTTAAATAAGAAACCGTTTCATGTCAATAAACAATACATAGCAAGTGAATAAACATTTAGCAATGCCACAGCCTTTTCATCTATGAGAACTCTTAAAAATATGATCCCAATGAGTACGACATACTCTGCAATTTACAGAGCAATAATGGCAGAGCTCAGCAGCTAGTGCAGTAAATAAATGAAAATAAATGCATCTGGCACTATTCCATTCGGTATTCGTGTTTTTTTTCTCAGTAGTTCTCTGTGAATGGGTACGTTGTCACTCCAAGGATTTAACGACAAACTAAATCAACACTAGGACCTCTGCTGGTCTCCTCCAACTCTCGTTTAAAAAATGCCACTGGGGGTCAGGGGTGAGCCCCCGGAGTTTCTATTTTTCTCTCGTCACCAAGGTGATGCTTTTGAATAGAACAGTCTTTTTTTGGGAGAAATGCAGGTGCGCGGTCAGAAACCCGGTTATACTACGATCATTAAATCTCCATAACAGGAAGTAGGCCTACAGTACTTCTTTTAAAAACAGTGACACTCTGATGTGTCCTATCAAAATAATGTCAGTTTCTTTTGATTTTCACAGAGTAACACATCTTTACGCTATGTAGCCACGAGTCTAAGCTTGCACGTTAGAGATTTAAACAAGATCTAAAAACAATTTCGCTTAGTCCACTTCCTGCCATGAAGCTGATATCATATGAAGATGGAATACGAAACTTTAGTATCTGTATACAGACAAGAGCGAGTTTTTTTTTATTTGGTACCTCCTTCAAAAACTGGTAGCTCTTAATCATAATCGGGGACAGCTCAATTTAGCGGTAAAATGAACAGATTTTTGCGGAACGTGTTACTGTACCAAGTTTTCGTTTTGCCGTGTTTTTCACTATGAAACGTGAAATGTGAAAAATAAAATAATTGTCACTGTTTGAATACCAAATTATGTTGTTTTTAACCTATTCTCTTGTTCATTGTTATGATGTAAAAGCGTGTTGTAATAATCTACCTATCGTTAGTAAACAAATTGTACAAATATTCATCTTATTTATTTCTCGTTCCAGATATCTACAATATTTAAATTCGAAATAAAAAGCACTTTAAAACCTGTGAAGGTATATATTGTAAATAAATTTAAATTTAAATAACATATAACTCAGAATGACTTTGTATTTAAACAAAATACATGAATGTGTCCGAGATATTAAGATCTGCCTAAATCAGCCCAATTTGTAAATTTCAGATCACCCACTTTGTAGATTCAATACCATGGTGTCTTTCAAACTTTTAATCTTAAGTCTCTATTGCAAAATTAAAATATTGTTTGATTAGAACAAAAATGATAATGGAAGCAAATTAATCGAGTTTAATAATAGCAAGTTGGATTCGCGTTTTTTTTAATCTCCTAGACCAGATATTAATATCTTGCAGCGAAAGCTGTATTGAAATTAATATATTATACTCATTTTGACCCTTTTTCACAGCTTGTAACGGACAGCAAACGAATCCTATTTTCTAATTTCGTTCAACAGTTCTCCCAAACGTCCAAAATTAAGTCACATATTTCACAATGTAGTTACACGCCTATCCGATTAACAGTGTTATTTGTTTGCTAACTTATTTTTGTGTTTGTTGTTTGTCCTGTCGTTTGTTTTTATTGAATTAATGAAAGGGCTTTGCCTTTGTTTCTGCATTCTGTTTCAACCTTTCGGGTGCTCTTGGTAAATGTAACTAGTAAAAATGTAATTCAGGTTTGCATGTTTTGTTTTACACAAAAATGCCATTTTGATTGCTGGTGAGATCAGATATGATATTCTTCAAAGTCCCTGAGTGTGTCTGGACACTTGATATAAGAATGTTATTACGTTTTGAATTACACGAAACATCAAAAAGGACTCTAATAACCAAAGCAAATATTTGATGGTGAAGAGTCCTTAATAGTTTAAAAGTACCCTTTACTTTTTTCGCGAAGCGCACTTTTGTCTATGGGTGTTTAATAGATTAAGAGGCTACGAGAGGTCATTGAAGTAAGGAATTTCAACGTCTGAACATGACTTTTCTTTCCCTTGCGAGGTTTACACTTAAATTGAGAGTCCTTGGTAAACTTAACAACACTTGTGACGGGCCTACCTAGCATACAGTAATCTGTGTGTCAACGAATTTAAGTAGCTAATGAATAAAGGCACTGTGTGCATCCTTAAAAAGGGAGATGTTTTCCCTCTCCTTGTAGTCGTTTGAAAACTCTCACCGTTACATTTTTAAGTTAGTATCTGTGTTAAAAAAGGGGGAAACACCAACTACCGTGTGCATATGAATAAACCATAAATTTCGGTGAATTATGTTTCTGTTGTGAAGCACATCTAATTTATAATCCCGTGATGTGAAAGTCAGTTGTCATAAAAAAACTATTCAAACGTTGTCATGATTTTTTTAATCCTCCTATTCACAAAGTCAAAACCTTGATGCCAACGATTTCGTTTGATAGTAGAAATTAAAAGGCTTTTAATTCCGTTTGGAAACGCATAACTAATAACTGTGTATAGACTTGGCTGCAGTAGACGTGAAGCAGTCGATAGTGGCCCGAATCCATTGAATCCCATTGAAAACCATGACAACAAGGAACAAGCTCGGATTTATCCGAGAAAGTTAAAGCACATTGTAAGGAGGCGTCAATCACGCATTATTCCGACACTGAACAAATGCAAAATCTTGACTGGAACAAATGCTTCCAACGGGTCCAAGACTTAGGGCTACATTTCCCGCTTTTGTTCCTGGCCTCGCAGTTGGCGTGTATTTGTGTTCCCTTTAGTTCGACCACCCAGGATGTTTGTGAGGCCGATCGCGGAGCACGGAAGATAACGAGTCTACTCTCGGCTGGCACACGTGATAGGTGGTTGCAATAAGCGCTGCCTGGGAACCTTAAAGCAGGCCGTCCGTTTTCAAGAAATATGCAGGACATTGGCCAAGACCTCTTAGTCCTGTATACCGACCTCGAAATGTATTTTAAAAATTAATCTCGCTGCGTCATACCTACCCTACGACATATCATAGAAATCCGGCATTGAAGAATATGGCGGGGAAGGGAGGGACTGTTTAAAACACGGGCAAATTAATCATATTTCATAAAGAGTTTGTATGTCGAGAAAATGTGTATTTTACTTAGAAATTACCTTCAACGTCTTTATTCCTACACGGTTTGGGACCAAAAATAGGAATAATTCAGTGTGACTTGGTTGCTCAAACAGACGATTGCGTGGAAGTCTATTAAAAAAAAATCCGTTCTTTCGAATGATTTATTATTTCAACTACTGTGGGCCCCACGAGTAAAACACTAGACTCTGACTTGTTTTTCCGAATCAGTTTAAAAATCCCAAGACCGTACAGGGCCTGTGCAAATATCCTTTGAAAAA